GCTCTCTCTCTCTCTAGATTGATTTTTTTAGTATTCTTTTGTAAAAGGATTTTGTTTTTCCTGTGTGTGTGGTGCCTTGTGTCTGTAGATTTACTTATCTACATCTGTATCATTTCATATTCCCCTCCTTGCTAACCCTACTCGCATTTACGGCGCGTGATTTAGACTTTGCAGTATTAAAATTGTTTTATTTCTTGATAGATATCCAGGCCGAATTTAAAAATTCGAAATAAATCTATTGTTTACTCGAACAATCTTTACTAAAACAGCTAATTAAAAGTTTACATTTCAATGTTGAAAAATCCATTTTATATAAATCTTCCTTACATCTATTCGTGTAAAGTAAAACTAATTTTTTTTTAACTTCAAGTTAACAAAAGTCGAATTGGAAACCAAATTAAATAGTAGTATTCCTATTTCACCCAATAATGTAACTGAGCTTGAATGTTTTGATTCTGTTTTTCTAACGAGAAAATGTCCAACCTACTTACACGGAACAAACAAATATAAGTGAATTTTCTAATTCAAACTGCACAAAATTCCCAAAAAAATATGTCAGTTATTAGTTGATTGTCGTATATATATATACTCAATACAAATGTAATAAAAAAAATGGAAAGGCGCGTTAAACAAAAATAATCATCGATCTGAAAATACTGTATAAAAAATGTAGAAACATATACCGAGGTTGCAGAGCAAAAGTGAAATTTAGCGCAGATGGTTCATTGTCTATCATTTGTTTTCCATAACTACCCTTAGTTTTGAAGAAGACACTCGACTTGAAGGAGGGATAATTCAGTAAAGTTCAATGCAAAACAACTCTTGCAGCAGGTGGCTTTGATGCCTGGTTTTGAAAACTAAATCTAATGGTTGAGATTGCATTTGTCTATGAACAGGATCGGCTCGCTCTAGATTGTGTGTATGTGTGTGTTTTTTTTTCTTTTATTACCAAAAATTACACAAAACTTGAAGTGGTATAAAATGTAGGATGTAGACTTGATATAGGCAGTGCCCTTTCTACTGTCAAGTAAGAGTTTTGAATGACAGCATTGACAAGTACATAGTGGAATTTTTTTTTTTTTTGATAAAACTTTACATGTGTTTTTTAAAGGAAATTGGTACATATAACCATAACTTTCACGTAAATTTGTAAAATAACCATATGAAAGTAGGTGTTATAATATTGATAGTATTTTTTATAATATATACAAAAATACCATTTTCTTCACCTCTCCTTTCTTTTTTTTGCATTCTCATCTTTCTCTCATGTGCCGATTTCTCATATCCTCTCTTCCTCTTTCTTTCCTTTTCTCTTCTATTCTTCCATTTCCTTCCCTTCCTCTTTTTTTTTCCTTTAGATTATACTATACAAATTATATGAAGTAATTATTTTATAAATAGTATAGTATAGTAAATGTAATTACAATTTCAAATATTATACTATATTAGTTTTGCCGTGTAAGAACATATATTATAGTATGGTCCAGAAAAAAATTATGTGCTATAATCAAAACTATTTTCTATAAATGTTCTCAGTTTAAAATAAAATAAGTTTTTGGTCTTTTTATATAGGGTATGATTATTTTCCATATTTTTTGAATAGCATAACTATATTTTTTAATTCTTTTTTCAATATAGTTATTTGGCTAAAAAACATTTTGTTTAAAGTTAATCGTTTTTTTTTGTCGCCATCTGTTATATAGTCTTATAGATATTCAAAACATTATTTTCTTAGTTTGTTACATCAATAATACTAGTATAATTGTATAAACTACTAATTAAGTGTAATAATTACCAATATATAACAGCATTTCTAGATGATTTTGCACTTGTTGACAAACTTAAAATATTTAGGTGCCGTTTATTAACGGTAGTAGATAACAGAGTAATGAAGAAAATCAAATGAGTCCAAGATAAGGTGGGAACGTTAACGAATGGGAGACATTGCTTATGTGATTGTTCTAAAAGGTAACTTCATATATCTAATTTTCTAACCAAAATAATACTTTAGAATAAATTAATCATACTAATGGATACTGTAATAATTAGAAACATGTTTTTGTTTTTAGGACAAACGAGAAAACCCCATGTGTTCCTCCACCTTGTAATCCGTCTAATAATAACATGTATCCTATTTATTTATTTTTGATTATGTTTTGGATTTAAAAATTTACCAAACTGCGTATTCTAGTAAACTAACTCAATCTTAAAGGTGGGTAACGAGACATCGACCGAGTGTTACCTTACATATACATAGTTACATGCATACTCGTGATTCGGTTCCACGGAAATAATTATAATACGGTTAGTAAATACAGACAAAAGTAAACGTAGAATAAACAGTATTGTAAAAAAAAGCTAACGGTGAAAGATTGTATGGTCAAAAATAGAAAGGTAACGATGTTGTATATATAAAAAAAACATGTCTTCAACCAATTTCCGTAATGATAATTAAGACTATACTTATTTAACCAATTTTGCTTCTCGGTCCAAATATATCACGCATTTCCATGTCTCTTTCAGAATGGTCTGGTTTTTCATTATTTTCATATAAGTTTTAATTATTAAACTACGCTTCAATCATTTTCCTTATTATTTATTACTCGTATTTCAGCTTGTAGAACTACACAGTTTCCTTTGTAGTCCTATCTTTCCAAAATAAATTTATATTTCAGGTTTTTAATTTAAATGTATAACAGAACAGAAAAGGGTACTTTGTGATAACTGATAAACACAAAAAATAACCCAAATTTGCAATTGCTACAATATTCGAGACAATTACTTTACAAAAATTACTTGGATCACCTATTTACTCAGATTAATGTATAAAATATGAGGGAGGTATTCACATTTAGCATTCAAATCTATGAAGCATGGAAACAGAAACGGGTACGTGGAAGCGGAACGTTTTGAAATGCGGAAACGCTATTTTAAAAAAATATAGAAATGGAAACGTTTTGGAAACGCATATATATATTAAGTATTAAAAATCTAATTATAAGTAGAATATTTAATCAACAAAATCTAATATATATTTTTTACATAATTATTAAACTATAAAATTTAAAATATGTAAAATCAAAAATTTTAGAAGATTTTCTTTATTATCAATTTTATTAATTTCATTAATCAATCTATCTCTAATTCTAATTCATCCAGAGAATAATTTTCAAACTTAGTAATCTCAAAATTAATCTTAATTACCAAATCAAAATATTTATTATTTACTATAAATAAGTAAATTGATTATTTAATTTAATTTTTATAATTATTTATTTGTTCTATAAAAACAAGAAATTAATTTTTATCTTCTTTTCAAAATGGAAACGTGTGTTTTTAAAATGGAAATGCATTTCCAAAGTGTTTCCAAATTAGAATTTTTAAGAAACGTGATTTTTCGTGATTCCGAAACGTTTCGAACGTACTTCGGACGGAGTTTCCATGCCACCTAAATTTAAATTGCTATTATTATTTGTAGACTTAAACGAGAAAACAAAATCCAAGTTCCTCAAAATAGATGCTACTCTTCTCCACGAGCTAAACTTTTTATCTTTTTCGGATTATTACTTAAAACAGTTTTAGTTTTTTTTTATGTTCAGGAATTTCAAGGGGGTTTAACTTAGATGAATCATTTCAAATCCAAGTCACAATCAAAAACAAGGATCGTGTAATTTTTATATATAAAAAATTGCGTTAATTTTGGTTGGTTTATTATTAACTATCAAGAATTAGGAGGCACATTTGCTACACATACAATAATCTTGGTTCGATTAGAGAAAGATATAGTGACGGCGGAAACAAAACATAAAGTAATAGTGATATTTGTTCAGACAACAACCAACAGGATGTAGTATTAACCTTACTTTTGCTTGTTGAGCTATATAATATTAGTGATTGACACATTATTAACGTCCCTAAGTGATTATTTATAAAATCTAGAAACAGTTGACGAAAATAATTAGATGAACATATCCGACCGGGAGTACATTGGTACTATTACACGGAATTTCACTAAATTATAATAATTAGCAATGTTTGGTTACGCGAGCGATGAACTTATGTGGATATTGTTCTAGAATCTAAATTACTATTATCGAAAGTTTTCGAATCTTTTGAAAACTAAAAGTTTAGTAATTTTGAAAGGGATGATTTAATCTGGATCCTTTGCTTGTTAATATAATGATTGCTCGTTCACTCTCAATGTTTTTTTTTTTTTGTTGGTAGTAGAAAGTTCAATTTTTTTTTCATTTGGAATTAGAGAAAAACATATTTAATTTGATTTATTATTTTGATGACTCTTTAACGCTGGTAATGTGTCTTTACAAAGGAAAATTTCGCAAACTTTCATTACGAAAGTTAAAAACACACAGAGGCAAAAAGTCAAATGGGCTCATAGTGGTGACAGTTTTACAATGGGCTTTGTAGACCATTTGAACTTCATTACTTAGTTATCTTAGTATGGGCCTTGGTCCATAAATTACCAACCAAATTCGTGAAAGTTATTATAAGTTTATTAAAACGTTCCTTAAATCACGTTAACTTGCCTAATAAAAAGTCATAAAACCATTAAAATGACTCGATTTTAATCCGTATTGGTGAAAGATAAGCTGACGTGTCGTTCAGTAATTCGCTAATCTTGCGGTAATCTAAAAGAAAACGGAAACGCGATGATGTATATATAAATACTATAATATTCGCACACACGTCTCACATTATTGCAGCCGAAGTTTGAGCTATTGAATGAATCATCAGAATTCGAATCCAAAGTTATAACCTAATCACCTCCCATAATCTCTTCCTCTCTGTAAGTTTCTCCGATTGATTTCGTTGAGTTTACACTGTTTGATCTCTACTGAAGTTTTGTGAGATAAGTAGATTCACACTTAGGTAGTAGAAAAATTAGGGATTTTTTTTTTCTGGAATTTGTTGCGTATCGTTTCTTTTGTGTAGATCGGTGATTCTCGAGTGATGGTTATTTTTTAGGTAATACAGGAATAAAGATGAACAAAAGCAGCTTCAAGCAAGACCATGATTTCGGTAATAAAAAAACCTTTCTTTCCACTAATTAGATTATGATTTCGGGATTGTCATATGTATTCTGATTCTTAGTGGTGATTTGTATATATGCAGAGAAACGAAATGCTGAGGCTTTAAGGATCAGAGAGAAGTATCCTGATCGAGTTCCGGTAAGTAAAAAAACCTCTTTTGAGACTTTGATTCTGATTTTCGAGCTTTGCTCTTATTATGTCATGAAATGTCAGTTGGTGTGGATGATCTGCCTAAACCAGCAATGGATTATGTTCTGTTTCTTGGTATTAATATCTCATATGAACATACCCAATCCTTGTGTGGAATCTGAGGCCTGATTAATTGAAGTCTGAAAGGATTTTAATGTTTGCTTAAGTCTACAATTAGCATCATGTAACTGTGGTTCAATGATTTCAAAAAATGAGATGTTTTATTTGTCTCTTTGTAATAGGTGATTGTAGAGAAGGCAGAGAAAAGTGATATCACAAACATCGACAAGAAGAAGTATGATCGATCCTCTTTAGTTATATTTATATCTACCTTCTTTGAATAATATAATATGATTCCTAGCATTGGAACACGTTCTTTCAATTCATTCTTCCTTTTTCTTTGGATTTGAATTTACAGATACCTTGTCCCAGCGGATTTAACTGTTGGCCAGTTTGTGTATGTGATCCGCAAACGAATCCAACTTAGTGCAGAGAAAGCTATATTCATCTTTGTCGATAATGTTCTTCCTCCCACCGGTAAAATTAGTCTTGTTTAATACTAGTATCTACTCAAACCATTCATTCACTTTTTCTTAATCTTGTTTCTTCAATCTTTGTATTGAAATTGTAAAACTTGATTGCAGGAGCGATGATGTCAACCATCTACGAGGAGAAGAAAGATGATGATGGGTTCTTGTATGTTTCATACAGTGGCGAAAACACATTTGGATCCAAAATTGATCACTGAATCTGATTGAAAAATCAAATCTCAGGCTACTTAATACCCTATCAAATTTAGTTCTTGCTTTTAGTGGAATGTAAATATATTAAGTTTCTCTCTTCTTGTGATGTGTAACCGATCGGTTTGCAAACAAATAATTCAACAAAAACTTCGGTTCGGTTCGTTGAACCGGTTTTTGATAAGAGTAGTTTGATCCAACTATTCTGGGTCGAGCGCCCACGGTGGGTGTTGGGCCTTTATCGAGACCCGTTGGGTCTTTTTTTTCGCACCCGATTCAAAGCGGACGTGGCAGTAAAAGACAAATCACATGGGGATCGCCACGTGTCAAAACTAGCGGCAATGGCGGCTTCGGGTTGCGGTTAGGGCACGATCTTTGGTGATTTTGGCAAAAACATAATGAAAACAGAGCGGTGATGGTCCACGCACACTTGTCTGCTGCTTTTGTCGACCCCACTTTGCTAAAACGATCTCTGGTCCCACACGTTCCTTACTCTGCCTTTCCCCTCTCCATAATGTTTTTCTCCCATATATGTCAACTATTAAATTATCCCAATGTCTAAATACATTGACAAAATGCCAAATATTTTTATATTCTTCGTTTCGTACGCTCTTTTTGCATCACCATGTAACAAAATCGTGTTTGTGAGACTTTGATTAGTCTTATGTATATATATTTACTAAATTATATTCTTTCTATTCGCTTATTCAACTAGAGCCAAGCATGTATATTATATAAAACTTGTAAAGACTTTTGGAGTGTTAGCAGACACTACCAGTGTCCACTTGTTGATATATAACATCGAACAATGTCCTTTTGTGATTAGAAGCGTGGAAATTATTACTTTATTAGCATTAAATATATAAATAGATAATTGCTATAAAGTCATCGCAATGCAACGAAATAGCTAGGTGGTTGTAACGTCACTGTGTTCACGTAGACACGAACAATTGAACATGGATCATGTATAAATTGACGATGACCAATATATCTAAACGTGATAATAAATCTAAAACACACAATTAATCACAGACAAGACCGTTGCATATACTTGGTAGTTGTTAATCAACAAGAAACCACAAATAATATCTTTTATATATAAACAATTTGACTTTAATAATGCGTAATTTAATGAATATTAAGCCATGCATAGAATGAGTAAAAATAAACACATTCTCGGTTCATGGTTTTTGTAAAACAATCTCCTGCAAGCGTCAATAAGATCCGTAACCTATTTTTTTTTCCTGTTAAAATACGTAAGAAACCCGTAGTTTTTTCACCTGTCAGATATGGAACAATCCGTTTGAAGAATGTTTGGCCGAAAAGACTGCTTACTTTTTGTTATCGCCATTGAAACTATCGATTTTTACGCGTATATATGTTAAGCTTCCCGAGAAACACACACATGAAGGTATATAAAAGTGAATAAACAAATGAGTTAGGAGACAAAGTGAGAAAGGTAGCGTAAAACAATGCAAAGTGTTTAAAGGTTTCAATGTAGAGACAAAGAGGTAGGAGATTTAAAACCTCTTCTTGGGATAAACAACGAAGCATATGCATCAAAAACCCTAATTCTCCTTTTTGCTCCTTTCAATGGCTAGCTAGATTTTCGCACCATTATTAATACATAACATATAAAAATAATATATACATATATTCAGTAAGCGGTCAAATCTGAGGATGCTATAACTACGAGAGAAGCGACACAAGTCTGGTCTTTTCTCTTTCGCTAGGACGTTTCTTTGGTTTTGGGTCGGTGGATTTCTCAGAGACAGAAGAGGGGGCCACATATACACACCATATCTGACCGTCACTACTCTTTTCTTCTTCTCACCCATACATTTGCATGTTCTCTCCTTTTCTTCTAAATTCTACCATCCACGACTCTTTCTCTCTCTCCGTCTCCCTCTATATCTGCATTTATTGCACAATCTCTCTGCCTTAAGCATTTATAACAATCACGATATCCTCAAACCGTCATCACTCTCTCTATCTCTATATATATATTTGCATATTGCAACCGTCGGTTATAACCGAACTCATCTCTTTGGTCGTTACTATTCGTATAGATATGTTGAGGACTACTTGCTTTTATTTCCTTTTTATCGTTTTTGTCATCCTTTCTCGGACTTGCTTATGCGATTCTCGCCGCCTTGGACCCACGGAGAAGAAGCTTGGTGTGAATCGTGATCGCGATGCAGAGGTACGCTCCTTTACATCACGTACGATGTCAGAGTCTCGGTATTTTGAATGATATTAGGTTGTTTTTGTTTTTTTTATTTGTGTCTGTGCAACTGATATTTGGGTATTTTCTTAAGAAATAAGTTTGGAAGGATTAACATGCGCATTAGTATATATAAAATCAACACGGACAACTATTTCTTGATCATTAGATTTACATGTGTATACAGTTTTCTTTTTAAAAGGTGCAATTGGTTTATTTGTATAAGATACTTAGATTTTAAAGGTGCAATTGTATAAGATACTAAGTTTCTAATAAATATATTTCTTAGTTAATAGATGAATTGAAATTCATATTTTTTTATCTTTCATAAGAAAAACAAATCTACTTATTGGTAGGGAACAAACACTTAACAACTGTACGAAGTTTAGTGTAGCTAAATTCACTTATATTGTCATAAAATCTTCCATATTTGTAAGCGGGTATGTATTAAACATACACCATTAGGTAGATTGTATATAGAGAAATAAATTTACAAAAATTAAACAGTTAAACACATGTATATAGAGATATTAATTCCTTCTCCATGTAACAGAACAAAGAAGAGGTAGCAAAATTAGAAGCTCCGACAACAAACGAGACGAAAACCTTTTCAAGCGAAGCACCGATCGAAAATGCCAAAGTTAATCATGGTGAGATCAATGGCAAGAGTACGAAGGACGATCGCAGAGGAAAACGAGCTTCAGTAGACAGAACGGTGTCGTCTAAAATAGTCTCGAGAACTTGGAAAGTTCCCAAATATTCAAAGAAGCAGCCAAGATCAGATCAAGAACATCCCGGATTCAATCTCGATTATATGCAGCCAACCACGCACCCGCCTCATCATAATTAACTCTTTTTATTGGTCATGCAATAACACGAGAAATTTTCATATTGTGTTTTTATTATATATATAATATAATAACTAAAGTCACGAAGAATGTTCACATTTTGACTCGTGTAATAGGTCAAAACGACCTAGCTAGTTTTAAGCTTCATAATCAAAATACGTATCTTAGATTAGTATTAATTTCTTGATATTGTCCAATACTATTACGTTTGCATTTCTTGATTTTGTGACTATATCACGCTTTCATGCGCATTTATCGCATGTGGAATGTGGTATTGAACTCGGTGGATCTTAAAATAGTAATACTTGCAGATTGCAATTTATCATCCAAGTAAAGAAAAATATTACTACCAGTAGTCAAATGCCTCATTTCTATATTTTATAGAGATGAGATCCGCGTGCACATTCACTGTTAACGATGTTAAAAAAAGACGAAGATCCCGCGTTTGGTTCCAATGCAATCAGGTGTCCAAAATCGACGTCCCTTAAGTTTAAATTGACTTAGTTCAAATCATATATATAATAATAATGCAAGCAATTTCATTATCTTATTTCTCATCAAAACGTTTCTTATTTATTTTGTTCCCCGGAAATTTCTTGTTTGACTTGTCTTCTCTTTCACGTAACGTTTTTTAATTCAACGAGAGGATAAAATTTTAAAATTCGTGGGAAAATTTGGGAGTAGAGAGATATGCGAGTAAACAATAAAAGAAAATATGGATATGAGATCACTTATTATCAACGACTTGAGTACAGGGCCCACTTATTTAAATGGGCCACAAGCCCAGTGTATGTTCTGCAACAGAGGAAAGAAAGAAAAGGAAGTGGCGATCCAGCTTCAACTTTCCCGCCGGAAAAAAATTCAGGAATTTCCAATTTCCAAAACCTAAAGCGACACGAAGAGGGTTAAGGTAGTGTGGGTGGAGACTGAGGCTTTTCGTGAAGTGAAGAATGGAGGGAAAGCAAGCTGGGTCTTCTCTAGATCTGTTGATTGCTTCCTTCAACAAACGAGTCGGCGAGTTGCAGGAACTCGTCATCGCCCGGAACAGTGAGTCGAGTTTCAATAGTCGATCGATTTTGCCTTCTTCTCTCCGTCCCATGACCCGATTTTGGTTTCCCGCAGTGTATCCGGCGAGCAGCATCCCGGATTTAACGGCGATCGACACGGCGTTGAGCTCGATGGAGCTTCAGGTACAGTCGATTAAGGATCGGTTGCGTGAGGAGACGGAAGCTATTCCGAAAGCCAAGGTACGTACGCGTTGTTTGCTTACCGAGATTTAGGGATTCTTGAGCCATTTCTATTTAGGGTTTTGCGAAAATCGAATTCAATGTTCTGATGAAGTTTTGAGGGATTCTTGTCGTTTTGTAGAAACTTATAGAGGCATCACTGAAACAGCAAGTGAAATTGCAGAAGATGACTGTTTATGCACCGTCTCATTTCCCTGAGAAGACTGCAATGTTGAATTCAGATATAAACAGATGGTACTATGCTTTCTCTTTAATATCTATCACTTGTTTCACTAATCCAGAAGTTTAACAAAGATTGGTGGGTTTCTATTCCAGTTTGCTCCAAGAAAATGTCAAGCAGCACGAACAAAATCACGGTCTCAGCTATGAGGACGAAGCAGCTGTTTTACCCAAGGTAGAAACATTACATAATACTTTGTTTGTCTGAATTGACTCTATGGCATTTCAAGAGTCAAATGGGTATGATGAAGTGTAGCTAGTGATGGGTTTCGTTTCCAGGAGAAGAAAGGTCGTGGGTCTCCTCCGCTTTGGTACATAACTGTTGAAGAACTCAATTCACTCTCGTCGTAAGAGTACACTTTATCTTCTTCCTTTACTTGTTATGCATATTGCTTTTTTTTTCTGAGATGTTTCCACACACACACAAAAATAATAAGATACATGAGAGGAAGGCTCACCCTTGAGAAAGTGAATGCGGCAATCAATGACATGGCTTCATATGCTGAAGCAAATGCTCATCTTATTTCAGCCCCAAAACAAAAGGTATTATTTGACTGCACTCTATTAATCAGCTTGCAGATTTGATTCTTTCTCATGCGAGAGCATTGTGCTGACTCTTGTTTGTTTTTTCTACTATGGAGCTGGCGGAAAACCTCTGGGAGAAAGCACTGGTATGCTATTTCTTTAACAGGATTGTTAGTTTATTTCTGTTGTTTCTACTGATAAAAGTTATGCTGAATTCTCTTGCTATGATTCTCAGTGAGGAAGGTAACTAATTATCTTTGAAACTCTGATCTGCAGAAACTACGGGACATTGTAACGTCGGGAGCATTGAAGGGCAAGTATTTCTTTCTTGAAACTGACATGAAGGGACCAATGTTGAAACTAGACAACACAGGAAAGGCAATACTTACAGTAAGTAATACTATCTGTTCCCCTGATTTCATCAACAAACAACATTTTTTATGCATTATTAAACTCTCTTCACCAGAAGTAGACAACACTTGAAACTACATGATGATTGTAATCTTTTGATGCCTCTACAGGTTCTTCGACACCTTGGTCGTGTTAGTGAGACTCGAATCGGTCAAAACCGCGTCATCATTCTTATGAAGCTTAATTAGAAAAGTAAACAAACTTTCTCGAGGTCGTTCATTTTCAAATCAAGTCGTCGTTCACATCGATTTCTTGCTTCTACTTGTAAGTCTCTCGGGTCTAATTGTTCTTTGAACGCATTAAGTCTAAACTTAGACTGCTCTGCTTAACAAGCCCAGGTAGGCCCAGTACCAACTAGGCTGCCCTTTTTTAAACTGCACGAATTTATAAATTATGGTCAAACTGTTTTAAAACAATTTCTCATATTTGCACGAAAGTAGCAAAACTCGATTTCCGTTGTTTTCGACGTATTTTAAACGTAGTATTTGTACAAGTTATTTGTTTTATTATTATATCTGGTTCAAGTTCCACTGCACAATGGCCTGTCCCATTCAAATCCACAAAGTAGCAATACTCGGTTTCCGATTTTTATTTTGACTTTTGATTTAGCTTTACATAGTTTACTTCTGAATTATTACTAAACCTTCAAGATTGTCATGTGTTACAGTCTATACAATGTAGGATAAACATTTGAACCATTTAGTCCGATTTGATTGAACGAATTTGTAAAACCATGGTTTAAAACTTAATTCATTTGCTTAAACTAAATTGTAAGGCAACTATGAGTAACCTAGTAGATTTAGTTGTAATTCAGGGACGTTCTTCCGAACAAATCAAGAAATTAGTGTTCATATATGTCCAGAACAAGAAAGTACAATGAGCAAAGTAAGAAATGGAATGGGAGAAGGTGGTCCAGGAAAACAGGAGAGCAAAAGTCTATTTGCCTCAAAAACATTCACAATTTCACGTTTATCTATAATGTCTGTCCCAATCGTTTTGTCTTCTTATTCATATAAACCAATTAAACAATTTTAGTCATCGTTCGTTCGTGCAAAGAAACAAAAAAAAACATCCATGAATAAAGACAAAAACACATACCACAAACACTTTTATCACAATTCATTTTCTTTTTTAATTGCATATTTATTACCAACTAACTAGTAGTACTATACTAGTATCAAATACTAATTCACTATTACTAGTATGTTGTAACCTAAATTTTAATATTTCCAAGAAGAGACAATCATAAATTCTCTGCAGACACTACTATCCATCACCATTTTACTTCCGTTTCTTTTCAAACGAATCATTTAACTCAAGCCAAAAAAGATATGGTCGGCCCAATGCATTTAATGATTAAATTTTAATCCCTGAGAGTTGAAAATTTAACTTCTCCGCAGTAAAATAATAAATCTAGGCCGCCTTAATAGTGTGAACTGAAATTGCAATCATGAAAGTTAGAGAATCACCACCTCCATGAAAATTACAATAATTTTATAAAATAAAATAAAAAAACCAATAACAGGTGGAGGCAATTAAAACGGACTATACAAAATTCTGTTTCATTTTTCTAAAAATATTTAAATTGTTTGAAAATAGATAACATAGAATTCTCCCGTTACGCGGTACTACACAGACCAGACAAAACCAGGAGAGAGCTTCTTTCTCTTTTCTCTGGTATCTATTTTTCAATTTCATTTTCTAAAAAAAAAAACTAAAACTCGATTTGATATTTAGCTACGGCTTTTTTTTTTTCTTAATTTAAAAACATTAGACTATTGTTACGTGTATTCAATCTACTTACCACTTCGACCGAAATCCCAAATCCATACGGCCTAATAAAGCGGAGCTCGTTGCGGCGGCGTATTCTTCCGCCGGTTTAAAAAGTTCGCCGGAGCTTCCGTGTAAGTCTGAGTAACCGCCGTCGTGACTCTGCGGCAAGATGTCGACAAGCTACTTCTTTTCTTCCGGACGATTTCAGTTGTGGCGGTGCAAGCGAGCGCCTGACACAAGAACATGTCTCCTCCTCCTTCGTTACCGCCAGTCCCGGAAGATGTTCGGGTCGACCCGGTGGGTTCAAGCGTGGAACTTGGCGTCGTCGTGACATCTTCGGTTAAATGAAGAAATTTGCAGTTGCGAAGAAACCCATAGAGTCCTCTTTCCCTCATTATGACGTCACTAATCTACAAATACAGACAAAGCGACAATTACGTGTAAATGTGATCGTACACGCGTGTGATTAATGGTGCATCGAAAAGGAACAAACGAAAAAAGAACATCGACCATCATGAACAAAAAGCTGTGAATTGAATTTGAAATCAAATCATAATATCAATGAGAAGAAAAATTAAAGCGTATTTGGGTATTTAATAAAAATCAGAAACGACTAAAACGTAATTAATGAAGAAAAGATGTTCCTTTAATTAGAAGCAGACCTTGCAGGAGAGACAGCAGAAGGTGTAAGGAGACTGGAGACTCCGGTCACAGGTGGTGCAAAAGTTGCCGGAACCACGAAACTGTCGAGACTGGGGTCTTTCATTGATGAACACAACTTTCGAACTGTTCGTTTTGTATGGCTTCAATCATCATCATCATCATCAACACATACACACAAAACGAAGACAAAGCGTATTAATTGAGAGGTAATAATAGCTGTAGATTTAGGGCACAGGAACCCATGAAACTGGTGAACCTTTTGTTATAATAATGGATTAAGAGATTGAGTAAGGAAAATTAATTACAAACCTGAATTGAAGAGCAGTCCATTAGCTTCGAACCATCCTCTACCCTCAGAACGTCGTTATACACATATCTTCTTATCTGCAAAAGATTCCACAGCAACAGAAAAGTTTAAATCTTTCTCGATTAAATTGAACTTTTTTTTTTTTGAGAACATAAAAAAAAAGTGAAACTTTTAGTAAGTTCGATTAAAAGAGACCTGAAGAAGACGATGAGAGGAATGTGAAGAGAGACAGTGAGGACAGATGCTAAGACAACAGTCGATGCATAAAATGTTCTTCTCGTTCTTCTTAATATCTTCATGATCCAAACAAGCGTTGAAAAACTTCTCCTTTAACAAAACCTCAAGCCATGCAGGAAATTCCCCAGTTTCCATCTGCAAAAATTGAACCAAGACTCATGTTTCAATTTCAGGTTTTTTTCACCAGACCCAAAACAGAAAAAAACGAAGGAAAAAGGGATCATAACCCACCATGGCTCTAGATTCTAACTCTTCTTCTTCTACTCAATTCTGAGTGGTGTTTTTTTCTCGGGGAAGAGATAAGTAAGGTCAATCAAGGTCAGTCGGATTTGAAGCTCTCAGTGGTGAAATTGACTCACCATTCCCAGAAAGAGAGAGAGAGAGAGAGGGAAGGAGGGTGAGAGAAAAGAGAGAGAACGGCGCCTGGAGAGAGTGACCACTAGCAGCTTAATTTAAATAAGTCATCTCGTCCTTTCTTTCAGTCTAGTATTTGCAGTCTAAACTCTTCCTTAATTTATCTGTTTTGATTAGTTAACTGTGATTTGTTGATTCTTGGGTTTTTTTAATTATAGTAGTATTTCACTTTGTTGGATCAGGTCAATCTTAGATTACGTGTAGATGTGAAAATCCGATGATGAGAACTGATAATTGGGGTAATTGTCATTTGCTCAATAGTTTTAGATTAGAAGACTTTTAACCCAAAAGTAGCAGAGTTTAAGTATGAAAAAATGGAATTTAAGAATAATAAAAATGGAGTATAAGTTTTACTGCCGTATCTGTTTTTGTTGAGCAAATAATATTATTGAAAATGTATTCAGTCTGTTTGTAATAAGTACGATTTTAGAAAAAAAGAATTATAACCAATTTTTTTATATAGTAGTATTTTTTTTATCTCAACTTCTAATTGATGGATATATTGTATTTATTACTTATTGGACTTCATTTTTTGGTCTCTGTCTGGTTAACTGTGCAAAAGTGCTAAATGACAAGACTCTCCCCAACAGTCTACTTTTCATTTCTCAATGGCAATTTCGTAAAACCAGACAGACCTACTAAAAACAAATTTCTCTTTCGTATACAATAATAAACTAACTGTAAATGTGAATAACAAACCCAAATTTAGAAGAAGTCCATATCAAAAGCTAGGAGTATATAAACGAAATTAAACTAAGCACCATTTTATAACCAGAAACATAAATGTTACAGTACTAGTAGTAGATTGCAAATAGAGCAAATTCCAAGAAGAAAAAGGGCCTAAGACCTCTTGTCACACAGCTGTAGTAGGCCTCTTCTCGAAAACCAGTGCGAAGTTGATGCATGGGCTTTTATTAGTTCTTGCTTATACTACTAAAATTGCCTACTCTCCTCGCTAGACCACCTATATTATTTTTATTATCATCATATAATTATAAATAAAAAGAATCTCAAATTTTTAGCAATAGTACGATTCTTTTTGAAAAAATTGAAAGCAAATAATAATATAAAATAAGTGGTATGTATGTATATAGAGAGAGAGGGACAGAGAGGTGGATCAGAGTTTTGGTACGGAAGAGAGCAGTCTCAGGCAGAAGACGACGCCCACTGCTTTTGATCTGATCCGATTCGATCCAGCTGTCCTTTTTTTTCTCGTTAAGGCTTTTTAGTTACAGGACAGGGGTAATTTCGTCATTTTATTTATCTACATAGGCTTGGGCTTTTACACTTCCTTTGGGCTAGTGTGTTCACGGCTCGTTTCGTATTCTAATTTTGGGTTTAATAGTTTATACACATTTCTCCATCAAATACGAAAACGAAGGTAAAATAAAATGTTTATCTGAAAGCAGAAGTAAAAATTGATATAGTCGATTTCGAATATAAATTTTCTTACGAATTGAATTAGTATATACTTTAAAGAAATTATTAGGGAAAGTCGTGTTATATTTTTTTTTTTATGGTTGATTATATTGTTTTTGACAATCCGAAATCCTGATCACAACAGCAACACAATCAATGTTTTTAATTTAGTCAAACGACATCGTTGATGAGAGAATTTTACTCTTAACAACCGAAATCGTTGGTAACCAAATGGTCAAATGAGAAGGAGGGACAGTGACATTCGACCCACGATTTTGTCTCCATATTTGATTTGATGTCCCAGAAGAAGTAAATGGATTAACTATAAATGTACAACATACCATTGTGGAATTTACGCATAGTGGTCTGATTATTGCAGACCGCAAAAACAATCCATCCATTTTTGTTTTGTTTTGAACTTTTAACATTGTCAAAATGTAAATAGCTTTAAAATTCTTTAGAACATTTGAGAAATGTTGAAGTCCTTAGAACACAAGTATCTTTGTTTTATTTCAAGCGGCAGATCTGGAAAAAGATAAAAACATATCCGCGAAGATTAGCTAACATAAATTATAAACAATTAGCACTAGAAAATGTTTGGTAAAAGCATCACAAAGACGTGAAGAAAAGGGAAAAGATAAAGCAAGAATCTGGGAGATGAGTTTCGGAAGACATGTCTTCGTAAAGGTATCTTCAAAGCTATGATTAGTCTTGGTGGTCAATAATCAAATGTTTTGTATCAAATTACCAATAAAGGCTTCGTCTTGTATAAAGGTGATAAACATACTTTTTCACCCTTTTGGATGGCAAAACTATATCGGTATGACCACATCTTACACAATAGTGACGGGAAAGACACACAGTAATCGGGCAGTTAAGATCTTAATTACTGTGGTTACCCAAGTATTAAATATCAATGATAGAAAGTGGATACCACACTTAATTGTCGTGCCGTTCACATTTATAAATACGAGTGTTGACAGTTAACGTAAACGTAAGGTTAAACCCTTTATCGATTGTTTATATGTATTAAAGATTTAAATCTATAGATCGAATTATATGTTATGTCCAATCCGATTTACCGATCAGTAGCAAATTACAGTGTTAAGAAGTAAACAACTCACCGGAACAGAATTTCATTAAATAGATAAAAATAAACACCTAGATCATACTACTATATAACAACAAACGAAACTAAATAAAAGTAGTATTACATTTCTAATACTTTCCCATTGAAGTTGTCTGTTATGCTATTAGTGTAACCGCATCGTCGCTCTAGCAAATTATCATTTGTTACCGTTAACCAAATCATCAAAATAAAAAAAAAAGTCAGCGGAATTAGAGATGTGCGTGAAAATAAAAAGCTAAAATGTAAAAATAAAAAAAAATAAAAAACAAAAACAAAAATACAGCGGAAAGGGAAAGGCTTTGTGCATTCCTTTCTTCCAATGCATCCAAAGCACCATTAAATTCTTCAAGCAAAAACCTTCAAGTTTTTGACTGTCTCTCTAGTGGGGCAATCAAAATCAAAGTCCTTTTCGCTTTCTGAAATCGATTTCGATTTGGCGGAAAAAAGGGATAATTTTTTGGCTTCTTCTTCTTCTTTCGATTGCGCACTTCAGCGATGCGGGAAGTGGAAACATCGGCAATCACAACAGCTACTGCTCCTCCACAATTCTCTGCGATGTTTCAGAAACTAGCCATGGCGGTCAAAACCAAGACCTACGAGTTCTTCAACGAAGATGGCGAGAGGGTCGTCGATTCCGATGCCGAGGGTTTCGCTCTCCTTGACTCCGCCGAAGATTTCATCACCGATCAGAAAGTCGTCGTCCTCAAACCCGATAGGCCTCCTAGTGCCAGAACCCCTTCTCCGGGATCTCCGATTAAGTCTCCGGTGAGTGATGCTGAGACGAGGGTTTTGGTTAAACCTAATCAAGTGAAGCTTTCTCAGGTTAGGAAATTGGATACCCAGATGGGATTGAGTTTGATTTCCTCGGTTTTCGCGACGGTATCGTCTTTTGAAGCTTCGTATCTTCAATTGCAAGCCGCACACGCGCCGTTCGTTGAGGAAAGCGTCAAGGCTGCTGATAGAGCCCTCGTCTCCAACCTCCAGAAGTGTTCTGATTTGAAGCAATATTATAGAAATTATCGCCAAAGTTTGGATTTTGAGTCCGATATAGCGATTGGGTCATGCTTAGAATCTCGGGTGCAGGAGAATCAGAGCAAGCTTAGAGCTTTGGAAACGGTGTCGAACCGGTTACAAGCTGAGATGGACGCAAAGGATTTGCAGGTTTGGAGCCTGAGGAACAAATTAGGTGAGATTCAAAAGTCTAATTCCAAGTTATCAAAGAGACTGTCTGCAAATTCGAGATCATCGTCCAGTGATGTTCTGCTATCTGTTAGGGTTTACGAGTCTCTGTTGCGTGATGCATTCAAAGCTACACAGAAATTCACTAGGATTCTGATTGAGTTGATGGAAAAAGCTGGGTGGGATTTGGATTTGGCTGCTAACTCTGTTCATCCTGAGGTAGTCTATGCTAACAAGGGACATAACCGGTATGCGTTGTTGTCATATGTTTGCTTGGGGATGTTTCGAGGTTTCGATGGAGAAGGGTTTGATCTAAATGAGAATGATGAAGAAGAAGAAGATTCTGAGAGGAGTTCTTCTTCAGATTCTTCTTTGAGGGAGTTGATGCAACATGTGTCGAGCAATCCGATGGAGCTTCTTGATAGAGATAAAGACTGTGCGTTCTCTAGATTTTGCGATAAGAAGTATCACGAGCTCATTCACCCGAACATGGAATCTTCGATGTTCAGCAATATGGATCAAACCGAAGCTGTGCTGAGTTCTTGGAGGTCTCTGAGCACATTCTACGAGTCTTTTGTCTCGATGGCTAGCTCGATCTGGACCCTTCACAAGTTAGCCTTGTCCTTTGATCCCGCGGTTGAGATTTTCCAAGTTGAAAGCGGAGTGGATTTTTCGATTGTTTTCATGGAGAATGTTCTGAGAAAGAAACAAGATAAGAGGTTGTCCATGAATCCTACTCGAGCCAAAGTAGGATTCACAGTAGTTCCCGGGTTTAAAGTCGGGTGCACGGTGATCCAGTCTCAAGTTTACCTAACCGGCTTCAAATGTAAATGAAAGAGACCGATGGCTAAACGGACGCTCAAGTTTCTTCTTACACCGAAGCTATTTCAAGGACTTGGCGGCTCGAAGACTATAAGGGTTTTACTTTCTTACTTGTGTGATTAACTGTGTTCTTGAAGTGTGTCTACTTTGAGTTCTTGATTTCGTTTAAAGTGTATAGAAAGGTGTGTTGATTTTTACTTCTTTTGGTTCATAACACGATTTGGATTGAAAAGAATTAAATAGTTTCTCTTGCTCTTAGTAAGTTGTAACAGATTGATTATCAAAATGCAAGTTTTTCTCATTGTATGTGTTTGATCAAATTTAACATTTATCTATGTTATGCGCCTTTTCTCCTGTTTTTCTATTTCCGAGTAGCACTGCGTGACGGTTTTTCACTTCTAACCTGCCCCCATTCCCCTCGTCGCCATCGACGCTCAATAGATAGTTGTGGGCAAATTAAAAGCCCATATTTGGTCTTAATAAAAAGCCCATATTCTGGGCCGTTCAGTGATACCATGCGATTACTCATGCGCTTACAAATAACTTGTGGGCTAGTTGCGGAAAC